ATGAGGTGTTTGTTGAAGTGCTTATTAATAGAAATTGAACTTAATTTTTGGATATATATGGAGATTCATTAATTCTTGTCGGAAGTATGAAATTTAATTTAGATATTGCAAAGAATATTTGTCTTAAAAATTTGTAATGTGATTTTTTTTATTTTCGAAGATGGATAGTTGTAGATAAAATATTGAATGCTAGCATTTTTATGAGGAGATTGGAAATGATTTATGTTTGGTGCCTTGACCAAATGCTAATGAGGATTTAAAAGAAAATGTAAATGTATTATAGTTTAATATTGGAGGTGAGTGAAGTCGGAAAAAGAAATTATTGTACTGGTTGAGGGTTAAATAAAATTTTAATATGATTATAGGGAATTTGGAAGTGGAGAAATTTGATTAAAGTTGAGAGGAAAAGTTTAAATTCTGGAAATTTCAGGTAAGTAGATAGCATCCCATTTAATTTATTTTTATTTTTAATAGTCTTTTACTAAAATATTTCACTCTTCTAAATTATATTAATTTTTTTTATGGAATATTGAAGAAGGATAATTGAATTATGATATGTTTATTTATTTTTCCTCAAGAAATATATTTCCAACATGGATGAAGGCATTCTTGTTTATTAAACTCTAGAATTTCTTGGTTACTCAATTAATGTTAGCCTGTACATTGGCTATGAATTGCTATTTTGTCAAATTTTGAGATTTGAAACAATTTATGTAAGTTTGGTATTGAGAATGGAAAATTTTATTGCAAAAAATAATCATTTTTCTCGCATGTTTGAAATGTGATTTTCAAGAGGACTTTAGATAGAACACTGCTACTAACGGCAGTTCCATTAGCCCGTAGCGCTGTGGTTAATAACTAGCTAGTTTGTCTCGTGGGCTTTGTTCTCACTTTTGTGATTTGTGGGCTTTGCACCTGCGTTTGATTTCGTGGCTTCAAGTCGCGTTTGGTTAGCTTTATCTTCGTGTACTGTGTGTCCACATTTGTTTCGTGGCTTCGGCTGCGTTTGGTTACTTACCCTCGTGGATTATGTGTCCACGTTAGTTTCGTGGCTTTGGCTACGTTTGATTACTTACTCTCGTGGACTGTGTGTCCACGTTTGTTTTCATGGCATGAGCCGCATTTGGTTATCCTTACCCTCGTGAATTGTGTGTCTACGTTTGTTACTTGTTCTGTTAAGTCCTCAAAAATTTGAATTTTGAAACTCACTTATTTGAAATTCTAATGGCTTCAATTAGCAATTGTATTTTTTTTAATTATTTATGTACGAGTAATTTGTTTTCTTTAACAAGGATAGAATAAAATGTTTTCAATTTACTCTCATTTCATGATTATGATTATGATTTATAGATTTATGAAGTTATTATGTTGGATTATCATCTTTTCAATTATTTACATGATTATTTAAGTTTATTATTTTAATGCTTTTAAATTCAGTTTTGGGGATGCTATTCACTAAAAAATTTATTTTGGTCTCAGATTTATTAGTTGATACTAATTCTATCGTCGACCTCAAAAGGGCAATATTGGGTGGAAATTTTGCTTGGTATTGTTACCTTTTAATGTAAATATTTAAGTCTTATGTATTTTACTTTAAAGAAAAGAGTAGTTGCTCCACATAGATTGTTGCGAGAACTTTATTTTGTCTTATATATTGTTTGCTAGCTGGAAGGAGTTAAGTTCTTGATTGATATTATATTTTATGAAATTTTTTTTATGTTAAAGAATTTTCAAGAGACTTTATTTGCAGAGGAGTTCTGTCAAAATTTTTATAAAAGCTTTGAAGCTTTGCTTTGACAACTAGTATTAAAAGTATTAGAACTTTCACATGACTTGTTTATTTAAAAGCAAAATAAAATGAATTTTCACTTTGAAGCTTATAGGAATGCGCAATGTAGTTCGCACTCGTGCCGGTCACCCTTTATTTTTGGGGCGTGATATTGTGTGTCCACGTTTGTTTTATAACTTCGGCTGCATTTGGTTAGTATTACCCTTGTGGACTATGTGTTCACATTTGTTTCGTGACTTCAGTTACGTTTGGTTGCTTACCCTCGTGGATTATGTGTCCACGTTTGTTTTCATGGCATAAGCCACGTTTAGTTAGTTACCATTGTAGACTGTGTGTCCACATTTATAAATTGTTCTGATAAGTCTCTATAATTATGAATTCAATTATTTGATGATTTATATTCTATTGGTTTTTATCTGGTAATTTGAATATAAAAAGATTTATTTCATTAATGTACTTTTTTGAAATTTAGTGATATTATCATTTACTATAATAGTTCAATGATTTGAGATTTTATTTAAAAATTTATAGAGCCATTTTAATATGAAGTTTATTAAATTTTTATGAAAATTATCGTCTCTTTAACTTACATAACTATTTCAAACCTTTCATTTTATTTATATTATATTATCTATTGTTGGGACATTATTCACTGAAAAATTATTTTGGTCTCAGATACCTTAGTTGACACTGATCCTCCTTCTAACCCCTGAGAACTTATAGACGTGTTGGGTGAATGATTGATTAAAATTTTCCTTTTGATGTAGTTATAAACACTTATGTATTTTATTTTTGAAAAGTCTGATTAGGTGCTTCACATAGGTTATAATTAGTGCTTTTATTTTGGTATATATACTGTCGGTTAGTTAGAAGGGGCTGAGTTTTTGATTGACGGATTATTTTGTGAAAAATCTTGCATCATAGAATTTTCAGCAGATCCTATTTAGGGAGGAAGTTCTATTGAAATTTCTACAAAAATGTTAAAATTTTGTTATAATGATTAATATCAAGAATGCAAAAATTTTAATATAAATCTAAAATTATTTTAGAAATGGAATGAACTTACATTTTAAAGCTTACATGAATGTGTAATATGGGTTACATTTTATGTCAATCACTCTCTATTTTTGAAGCGTAACATTTTCCTTGCATACCTTCCCACAACCTAAAGAATCTCTGATGACAACAAGCAAACCTATCAAGTAGCGATGGCGATTTGGCTGAGAAGATATGAGGGATTTCTTTTGATTTGATTTGTCCCTAGCCTTCCAACTTCAACTCTGAACAGTCAAATCCATCCTCTAAATGAGCAACAGATCTCTAAAATCCTTCACGAAGGATGGTCAATGTGGATAAGGAGAATCAGAATCAAGCAAAGAAAGCAATATATAGTTCTAATTTGGCTCGAGGAAGAAGTAGTATGTGTTAATTTTACATCATTATTATTCGAAAACTAATGAGATAAAGGCTCCATCGTTACTGCTTGTAATTTTCCCAAAAATAAAAAAATTAGATCAAAAAAATTTCGTCGACAAATTACTGTAATTTTCCAATAAAGCAAAGCGTTTCAGAGTGAGTAGCGGGGACAAGAAAAAAAATGCTCGCATCCAAACGAGATTGCCGATACCTGCAACTTGCAACCTTCAATGAGGAAAGAAATTGGAATGGTTCAGAGTGGGTAGAGGAGGAGGAGGAGCAGCAGCGAACGACCCAGAACGGTGAGTGAGAGCTTTCACTTGATCAACACCTTTAGGCTGACTAGTTGCTGTTGGAAAGGGATGAAGAAGATGAAGAAGACAAGCAAGAGCATAGTGAAAGAGGAGATGGGGCACGTGGAGGAGGAGGAGGAGCAACGACAACCCAGAGTGGGTAGAGGAGGAGGAGCGGCGATGGCGAAAGGGACGAAGAAGACGAAGAAGAAGACATCCAATAACCTAGGAGGAAGAGGAGGGAAGGCAAGTGGAGGAGAGAGGGAAAAATGGGAAGACATGTCAGAATTTTTGATTAAAAAGTAACATTTAACGGTCAAACGTTTGTAAAAGATTAATGATAAAATACAATTACTCTTTTTTATAATTTTAAAATAATATTGCTCCTTTTCAAAGTAAAAATACTGAACTCATGTAAAAAATTTTTTAAAATATTTTTATCTTTTAATCCAAAATTATATGATAATTGATAATTGATTTTTATATACAACTTTCGAAAGATAATTAACGCGTGAATAGAACTTGCGAGTTGCGTTCTGATGCTCTAGCTACATCATCGTAGAAACAGTACTTCATAATTATTTGGGGGCACAAAAGGTTAAAGAGCGCCCTACTAATTACCCCTTCCGTATTAAATTATAAAAAATTTTTAAATAAAATTTTACATATCAATAAATTTTATTAAATACATTTAATAATTTTATCTTTTTAAAATAAAAATATAAATTTTAAAAAATATTCATCATTTAATATATTAAAAAAAGAATAGACAAGAATTAATTATAGAAAGAAAAAGAATAAAATTAAAATTAATGCATTTAATAAAACCTTAAATTATTCAAAGTGTTTTATATTTTGAGATAAAGAAACTCTTTTAAAAGTGTTTTATAATTTAGAATGGAGGGAGTATAACACAATTATAAGTAAAACAATGAAGTAAAATATATCAAAAATTGCTTTAGACATTTAGAATTCTTTAATTGTATCAATGTTATCAAAACTAGACTGGTTATTAAACTAAAAATGTCAGTTATTTATGATTCATATGATTCAATCAGGTTAAACTAATAATTGAATCAATGACATAATAATTAGATTAAAAAAATTATATATGTATATAATAATGTGAATATAAGAAATAAATATAAAATTATTATTTGACTTAAAAATAAAAATAAATATTTTTAGTTTATCATGACTTAACAAGTTATTTAATACAACATAATATTAAATAATTAAAAAAATGAGCCATTTTCTAAAAAAACAAAAAGAAGGGAGCCATTTTTTGAGCTGTTAGATTTTTAAGAACTCGATTCAATTCTTGTCCCAAATGATCTAATTGATTCCAACTTTCTAAACAATTTTTTTTGTCCAAACCAAACTATTAATGAATTTAGTTGACAATTCAACTAGTCTAACAGTCCAACTTGATTTAGTTTTTAAATCATTGAATTGCGTTAAGGTATAAAAAAAAAAAGAAATTGAGATATTTTTGCCACACTGTCAGGAGAAATCAATATGCCACTACATTTTAAAACTCCATAACAACAAAAAAAAAAAAAATCAATAAATTTATTAAAATAATAATACTCCCTACCCATGTGATACAAGTTGCCAATCAATCAGCCTTTAAAAATGGGCACGCACAAGATACCCAAATGCCTAGCCCCAATGTTTTGAAATCACTAAAGTTACATGCCTGACAACCAATGCTCTTTTGTTCAAAACACAACAATAGAAACCTTGCTAGTAAGGCCGACGACGATTTGTCTCCCGAGTTCTTTCAGACTTCATTATCAACGTGCTCGAAATCCACAATCGATTCACCTGATCAGGTGAATCATCAGACAGCCAGCAACAAAGGCGGTCGTCTTCCCCGCTGGTCCATCCAAAAAAGTCTTGGTCACAACCAGGTCCGCCATGAATTCTTGACATGGGCTATTCACTCTTTACAACACTTGTATGGCCACCCCATTATATAATTCACAGGAAAGTTGCCCAAAACACCAGTATTAGTGCCACCAATCGCCCATAGTCGTTGAGCTTCTCTAGAGTAGTGACAGTCAACAAAATAGTCAACCTAACAAGAGAAAGAACAATATCAGTTTGTGGATTTGTGAGTACAGAATATGCATGGTGCTATTCCAGTTCGCTAAAACATATTCCATTAGAGAGGGAGGAACTCACATTATCCAAGCTCCAACCTTTGAAGAGCGTCTGTGAAGTTTACTTCATTTCTAGCATCATTCCGATCCCAGATACTATAAGGAAACAGAGTAGAATAAAATATTAGAATCAAGCTAAACAGGCAACAAAATAAAACTTAGAAGAGAAAATGAGTCAGGATACGAATGTGAGAGTTCTCAAAATCCATATTAAGTGCATTAGAATATAATTGCTTCTGCAGACAGTGCTGCTGGAAGTACTATCATTCTCCGGAACCGGTTTCTGCTGAGCACCGTGATGCTCATCATCCAGATTATCTGGACCATTCAAATTTTTAATCTAGATGGTCCATATTTTTTCAATTTTAATTTTAATTTTATATTTTATAAAAATAAAATTTATAATTTTTTTTATAAATATATTTATCATCAATCTGGACAGTATTGATTCAATCTGAAATTCAGAGTAATTCAATTTAATATTATAATTTTCATAAACTGAATATCTAAATGTACTCTAGACAAGACAGATTTAATATTAAATTTTTTAATAATTTTTTATTTTATTAAATTTTTAATATTTTTTATTTTAATAAATATAAAATAAAAATAAAAATAAAAACTTTAAATCTAGACCTTACAGATAAAAATTTAATATTGAATTTAGACTATCTAGAATACATTAAGATAGTTAATTTATAAAAATTATAATATTAAATTGAATCACTCAAATTAAATCACTACTGTTCAGATTGATGATGAATATGTTTATAAAAAATTATAAATTTTATTTTTGTAAAATATAAAATTAAAATTAAAATTGAAAAAATCTGGACTATTCAAATTAAAATCTAGATAGTACCGAAACCAGTTCCATAATTCTCCACACACAATATGAGTTCACATGATAGTTATTTTAGGCTTTTAGCAGTGTGAATTGCCCTTGGCAACTGTTAACAAAACTGAATGCAAGATAAAGGCACGAAGCACATCGTCATTTACACCACCAAAGTGCTGAGAGGACTATATAACTATCAAGCAAACAAATTTAAGGAGATAACATACCTCAAGGTTTCAATATGCGTTAAACACCAAAGCTTCAGGCAACTTTCACCAAAAAAACCCGCCTTTGAGATTGAAGTTCCCACATTAATAACCTGCATTTTAGGTAACAATTTGTATGAATAATGTACTGGAGTCCAAACTCAAGTATAGAATAACTCAACCAAAGATAATGATTTTTCAAAATCTAAAGCTCTAAATATGTATGCATTGCGTAATGATATATACATCTTATATTTATCAATTTGAAAGCTAATTATAACTAGTGAAACTAAAAAACAATGGCACATCTGCATTGGAATCCCATACTTACTGATTCCAGATGATCTTCATCATCGATATCTCCAGCAATGTCAAATGTGCAAATCAACCCATCTACCGAAGAAGAAACTATTATAGGTATTATCAATCATATTTAATAAGTAAGCCATATTTTTGAGAAAAAAACCAGTTTAATATTTCTAAATTCCCTCAATTCTAAAAATTAATAAAGAAAATTATTAATATAAGAATGATTACTAAAACTTAATATTTTTATAATTAATAAATTTTTTTATACATTCTCTAGAAGTTCATTTTTTAAAATAAAAATAAAAATAGTTTTATATTTTAAAATTGTTCAAATGGATCCTTAATAAAGCACATAAATTGAAGTTCAAAAAATAAAAGAAATTAATTAATCTACTATATAAGAAATATTGAATAAGAATCATTCCCTCATTGTCTACCAATGAAAATTATGCAAATGATAGATGCCCAACTATCCCATGTCCTATCCTTCAAGCTCAATCAATAACTGTCGATATCAAGCCTAGCAGCCTTCATATAGAACTTTTAGTGCTTCCCAACACGTGGATGAAACTTTTTAAAAATATGTAATAATTTAATTAAAAGAGATTTATTATTTATCTTTAATATTTTGAGAGAGATAATTCTTAATGTTGCTGAAATTAAACTTATCCCTTATACTTACAAAAAAAAAATATTAAACTATGAAACAGATTGCCTAAATCACCTAGCCACAGGGCCATGTTTAATGTAAGGTTCTTAAGGCTACCAATCTCCTAAAGTCTCAAATAATGTTTACTTATTCTCTATATAACAGGACATTAATTTTCCTGGTAAATATTAATGTTAATTAGATATTTTTATTAGAAATTTATTTTTTGCTAATAAAACCTGTCATTACTTTTTTCATTAAACCATGTTAATTACATCTTTCTATTAAAAATTCATTACACAACATGTCACTACACCTATCACTCCCATTTTTTGATATCAATTAATCATTATCCAATTAGATAAGTAACATTCATATATTGTCAGTCTGCCACAATATAAAAGGGGACCATCTTGTCACAATCTAGCAATTCTCATTTCTCCTTCTCTCTCAAACGAATCGTTTTCTGTCATTGCCGTCATTTCATATTGAAAAAAATTTTGCTATGTTGATGTTGCTTGAATATGGTGCAATGTGGCTTTGTTAATTTACTTCTCGTCACTACCGATTCCAAATACTTTTATTTTCTTATTGGAGTTTTTTACTTTCTATCTAATTGGGGGGAGCAAAAAAACTCCAATTTTAGATGAGGTAATACTTTTGACTATATCGGTTCAATTTTAATTTTGACTTTACAATACTAGTAATAGTTGTCATTGCTGAAAGAAATTTTTAAAAATTAAAATTTTTTAAATCTTATTTAAGATAAACCATATTATAAAATAAATTAATAATGTATTTAAATTAATAAAGATTTGGATTAGGATATATAAAAATCATAGATTTAATGACATACAAATCCATTTCAAATTATAATATCTTTATAATTTCAAATTCATATCAATCATTTGAAATTCTAATTATTTCAAATGTCTCGTTCTTTTTCATCTTTTTTTAGTATTTGTACATCTATAACTCTCATATTTTTTTCATTTTTTGTCAGTTAAAAAATATAAATAAACTTATTATTTTGAATCTCAATTCATCTCTTTCTTTCATTTGAAGTTTTTTAAACTACTTAAATAAATAATTTTAAATACATGAATTTTAAATGTAAGAGTTTACCACATCTAAATCCATTGATCCAAATGCAACTTAAATGAATTAAATATATTATCTATTAAAACTGAAATGTTAGAATTACTTGATTACAAAAATTTAATCTGATTACCCTTGAATTGTGAGTACCACATGCATCAAGAAAAAAAGTTTTAGGACCAAGGAGAGATGAGTGAGAAAAAGAGAGAGCGTCTAGAGATCGACGAAGGCAACAGTGGTGAGGGAAAGGGTGGTGATCCTGGAGGTAATTGATGAAGGAAGGAACAACTTTATTTTTTCCAGCACGAACAATGATAGATATCGTCAGAGTGGGAAGGAGGATAAGGTGGATGAAGGCTTGAATTCTAGGAAAAAGATATCCTATAAGGATTCTTTGCTGAGTTTGAATTCTGCAGGATTTCTTTCTCCCAATGATGAATTCGATGATATTATACATGGCTGGAAGGGCTACCTTGAAGTTAAGGGCACAGGAGGCTATTAAGAGGGCAAAAGGGAAAATGAGTGAGGAAGAATCAGAGTAGGAGGACTTGTCTGAAGATTAGAGGTCCATGAAAATCCTAGAGTTGAAGATCCTTCAATAAGCATATCTTGCCTAGTGCAAGCCCTGGTTAAATTCCCTTATTGTGAAATTATTGGGACGTAATATCCCATTAAGGTTTTGGAGAATTAGGTTAATAAGAATGTGGCAAATTAGGGAGCCTATGTGAATTACACTACTAGGCAATGGATAGTTTATTGTCTCCTTTTCTAACAAGGATGACATTGACCATGCTTATCAAGAGCAACCATAGATAATAGATGATCACTATCCTCTTATGAAAAAATGGAGACCTAATTTCAATCCTTGGAAAGCATAAATACAATGAAGGATAGCAGCTTGGATTTGTGTCCTGGATTTTCCTGTTGAATTATATAATATAGAATTTTTGAGGATGATAGGGGATAAAGTTGGTACTATTCTAAAAGTTGATTGATATACTTTCATATATGATAAGGGTGCCTTTGCTAGAATATGTGTTGAACTTGACTTAAGCAAACCCCTTATGCCCGTCTTCACTGTGTACGGGGAAGAATATAAAATTGCGTTCGAAGGTCTTCATCTCATTTGCTTTCATTGTGGCCAGTTTAGGCATCATTTGAATGCTTGTCTTGATCGAGTTCAGACCTATGAACAAGAAAAAGAGATGAATGACAATTTCACTAAAGAGAAACAACAAACAGATATGTCTATTGGAAATATACAATCAGGGGATGACCAAAAGGTGGAGGTGATCATGTCGAAAAAACAAGGAGAGATTGACAGCACTTAAGAAACGGGCCAGAACGACGAAGGCACACCAGAGATGGTTTTTAGCAGTAAATACGGACTTGATATGATTATTGAGCAAGATTTTCATAAGAAGATGCCAAAATCAAAGCTTAAGGGAGCTGCAACTGGTTCGAATAAGGGAAAGGAGAATTGGGATTTGGTGAGTAGGGAAGTAAAGCTAATAACAATTCCACTATTATGCATGGAAAGAAATATGAGGTGCAGCATAGATTTGGCAGGGAAGTTGTAAACTATAAATCAAAGTGGACCTCAGTGGGAGGAAAGAGAAAAGCTACATTGAAAGTTAAAGGAAAAAAGAAAGAAAATGTAGCACCAAGCATAGGTTGAAATGGGCTAGATTTTATTAGCCCAAACTCATTTGATGCATTTACTAATTACAATGAGTGAATGTCTGGTAGGGATAATCCTCAAATAGATAATGGGCCAATTTCTTTAAAGTTGAAGGCTAATCAACATGTGAATGAAGCGGGCCAGGATGCTAGTAGGTGCCATGTCGTGAATCAGCTACCTATTAATGTTGAGTTATTTCCTTAAGAGCTAGATGCCGTGTCTAAAATAGACATCAATTTTTGTGAAGGTACTGATACGGGCTTATAAGCCCACTCTTTTTAATATGTTTTTATGAATTTTATATGGAATTCTAGAGGCACTGGATCACGTTCTTTTCCATGCCTTATTAAAGAATTGAAGCGTAAATATAAGGTGGAGCTTTTGGCAATAGTGGAAACTCGAGCTAGTAGTTCTAATGCTGTTAATATTGCTAAGTCTCTAGGTTTTAATAATTTTCATATTGTTAATGCAAGAGGTTATAGCAGAGGTCTTTAGCTTTTGTGGGATGATTTAGACTAGAAAATTGAGATTCTTAGTAGTCATGCTCAATGTATTCATTTTAAGGTCAAGAAAAATGATACAAATTAGTATGGCACAACTGTGTATACAAGCCCAAATGTTGTTAACAAAAATCTTCTTTAGAATGAACTTAAGCATATTAACATGAGCATTAATTATCCCTGGTTCATAGGAGGGGACTTTAATTGTACTTTGTCTAGCCATGAAATATTATCCTTATCTCGATATTCTACTACTGCTGATCGTAATTTTTGCTTAGTGGTAGATGAATTGGAGTTAATTGATATGGAGTGTAAAGGGCCTTTGTTTACCTGGCATAGAGCTAGGTGTGAGAGTAAACTTGATCATGTGCTCATGAATGAGGAAGGTAGGTGTAAATTTCCTAATGTATCTGTTGTCAGTTTACCTTATTTCAAATTTGATCATAGGCCTATTATTCTTAAGTTGTATGAAGACATTATTTCATGTTCTTCACGGCCTAAACCATTTAGATTTGTCACTTCTTGAGTTCTTCATAATGAGTTTGATCAATTGGCACATGAGAATTGGAATAACCAAACTAGCTAGAATGAAAACATGTGTTCTTTTATTGAGGCTGTTGTGAAAGGAAAAGATGAAGCTTTTAGGCATCTCAAGAACAAGAAAAAGTTATTGATTTGTAGGCTAGAAGGCCTCTATAAAATGGACCAACTTTGTTTCAATGTACTCGCGATAATAGAGCTGTAATATAGACTTTGGCTTGAACTTGAGGAAATTCTTATGCAAGAAAGTCTCCTTTAGGTGCAAAAAGCTAAGTATGACTGGTTTGTTTTTAGTGATAAAAATACTAGATATTTTCATGCTAAAGCTAATGCTCGAAGAAGAGTGAATATAATTGAAGCTCTCAAGAAGGAGGATGGCAGTTAGGTTTATGATACCAAAGAGATTGCTCAGATTGCTAGAAGTTTCTTATCCAATCTTTTTAAGGATGATGGGGGACCTAGACATACTATTCAGTCCTTTCATTCCTTTTCGAAGGTTAGTAATGTTCAGATCACTCAATTATCTAGAATGTTTGATGCCGAGGAGATTCGTGGAGCTTTATTTGACATAGGATCATTGAAATCTCCTGGACTAGATGGGATGAATGCTCTTTTCTTCCAAAGCCAATGGAACTTAATTGGGCCTTCTATAATCTCTATAGTGTAAAGAAGTTTCAGAGATCCCTCTTTAATTAGAGATATTAATGGTACTTTTATTGTGCTTATTTCTAAGAAAGAGAACCCAAAAACTATTCATGATTTTATACTTATAAGTTTGTGTAATGTAATCTACAAAATTATAACGAAGGTGATTTCTAATTGAATTAAAGGGATTTTACCTTCTATCATTGCCCCCAACCAGTGTAGTTTCATGCCTGAAAGGAAAAGTTCTGATAATATCATTATTGCATAGGAGGTGATTCACTCAATGAGAAATATGAAAGGAAAGAAAGGTTTTATGGCCATTAAGATAGACCTTAAGAAGGCTTACGATCGTATTAAATGGGATTTTGTTTGGAATTATCTAGTTGGATTAAAACTTCCAATTAAATTGGTTGATGTTATCTCTAGATGCTTAGACACTTTTAGTTTACAAATTTTTTAGGATGGCTACAAGATGGAGGAATTCTTTCCTACTGTTTGTGATTTATATTGAGAATTTAGCTCATATGATATAGGATGAAATTCATAAGAGTGCTTGGCGACCAATTAGACTTTTAAAATTGGGACCTGCCTTCACAATTTTAATGATCTTGTGATTTTTTTGAAGGTTTCTATTGATCAAGTAGAAGTTATTAAGAACTACCTTTCTCAGTTTTGTATGGTTTCAAATCAAAAAGTTAACCAAGCTAAGTCTCAAGTCCTTTATTTTGCTAATGTACCTCATCCTAGGAGGCATCAATTATTCAAACTGTTGGGTTCTCCAGTACAGTGGATCTTGAAAAATGTCTAGGGGTCCTTATGCATCATAAATGTGTTACTAAAGCAACATATGGGTATATGATGGATAAGGTTAAGAGTAGATTGAATAATTGGAAGATTTCTAATCTTTCTTTGGCAGGTCAGAATACTTTAATCAAGTCTGTGCTATTTGCTATTCCCCAATATCCTATGCAAACAGCTTTGCTTCCTACTATAATTTATGATGAAGTGAAGAATCTTGCTAGATCTTTTCTTTAAGGCTCTTCCCAAGAGAAAAGAAAGATTCACCTAATGGCTTAGGATAAGGTTTGTTGGAATAAGGATAATGGTGGTTTGGGGATTAAATCTCTCACCGCTCAAAATCAGGCCTTCTTGATAAAGAAAGGGTAGGAGCTTATCCACAAAAAGGATTCTCTTTGGACTAGAGTTGTATGTGCCAAGTACAAATATGGGGATAACTTATTACTAAAAATTGAAAGGAACAAACTTGGGTCCAAAATTTAGAGTGGTATTAAGAAGACTTGGGACTTATTAGAAATGAGCCTACAACAATTTACACTTCCTAATAGGCAAATCTCTGTCTGTTGGAGACCAAAAAAATAATAGGCACTTCACTATCAAGTCAACCTATGAGTTATGTTGTGATGATGACATTACTCCTTCGCAGGTGTATAGGAAGCTATTGAAATTGAAGATTCCATTTTGGTGTAAATCCTTTTTGTGGCTGGTTGTACAAGATAGATTGTTGACAAATGAAGTGCGAAGTAATCAAGGTATGTGTGATGATGCTAAGTGCTTTAGATGTGATTATGATTGTGAAGATATTTTACATGTTTTTTGGGACTGTGCCTTCTTAAAAGAAATCTGGCTTAGGAATGTTCATCCTAAACATATTGAAGAACTTTTTACCTTAAATGCATCGAACTGGTTTAAATGGAACCTGTGCTCTAATGTGGGTAGAAATGGTGAGGATTGGACTGAATAGTTCTCTATTGTTTGCTAGCTTTTGTGGAAGAGACGAAATGAATTTGTTTTTCAAGGGAAGGATACGATCATTGTCAATATTGGGGCGCATGCTAGAGGTATTATTAGATGTATGAGCTTAAGTCACAATGAGCTTGGCTTGAATAATCTTGGCAGGCAAGGATTATCTCAGCATTCCCTTGTAGTAAATCGGGATGTTGACAACTTTAGTATCTTTGTTGATGGTGCTTACTCGATTAGCATAGGAGCAATAGGGTGTGGAGGTAACACCGGGCAAACAGGTTACGGGTCAACCTGCAGGTTAGCCCACATGGGCTGACATTTTTGCGAGTTAGGTTGGGCTAGCTTGTCAAATAAAACAGGTTAAAAGATTCAACCCAACTCATTTTCTAGTAGGCTAGCCAACCCACGGGCTGGCCCACAAAAATTTATCAAATTTTTTTAACAATTTAAAATTTATATAATATAAATATATATTTATTTCATATTTTAAAGCAAATTAACAATTAAAGAACTTGTACATAAATAAAATAAATATAGAATTCAATCAACCAAATTAATTTTGCTAGATTTTTACTATCAATCATCTTCTCGCTTAGAAGTGTTATCTTTCTCAATGAAAAAAATTTAAATATAAACCCATATTATTTTTCTCAATGAATTTATATTTATAATTTCAATTAATAGATCTTATGAGATTAATAAACAATATATATTCAAAATATTTTTATGAAAACTAATAAATTATTGATTTACAAACTATAACAAAAATTTTATTTGCAAAAAAGATTTACACTATATTTTAAATGTAAAGAACATATTTGGGAGTCCTAAATTATATATTTGGGAAATATTATCATTATTGTAGATTTATAAAAAGATATAATGTGATTAAAAATAAAAAATTATTTTAAAAAAATATGCTAGCTTGCAGGCTAGCCCGTTTTAGCCTGCTAGTTTTGCAGGTTGGGCTAGCCCAACCTGTTTTAAAAAATGGGCTAATTTGTTCAACCCAACCTATCAAATTTTGTGGGTTACATGAGTTAGCCCGCGGGCTCAACTCGTTTGCCCAACTCTATGTGGAGGTTTAGTCAAAGATGGAAATGATGTTTTGACAGGTGGATTTCTTGTTAGATTTCATGAAGGTGATGCGCTTTTTGCTAAGTGATGGGCATGTCTTATAGGCTTAAAGTTTGCTTGGGATGAAGGAATTCGGGTTGGAACTTTGTTCTTTGATTGCTCAGATGCGGTTAACCTTCTCCAGGGAGGTGATATAAACTTTCATGAATATGCCCCAATTATACAAGAAGCACATGAGATGCTAAAAAGGGATTGGAGGATATGGGTTGATCTTATTGCTAGAGCTAATAACCATGATGCAGATGGATGTGTAAAGAAAGCACTGAATATTTCACAGAGATTTCATTATCTTCAAGCTGAAGACCTCTACAGGAATGTTCTCTTTGAGCCTCCTTAGTTTTCTGTCTTTCTTCTTTTTTTGCTTTGTGTTTGCTTTGTTTTGTTTTATTTTCTCTTCTATAAAAAAAATTAATCTGATTTTGTAGTTTAAAAAGTTAGAAAAGTGATATGAAAATAAATAAATTACAATATTTTAAGTCTCCAAGATAATTTTACTTTCAGCCTCAAAACATTCTATCTTCGCCATAGCCACGACCCTCAAGGATGAAACTAAAATCCCAGGCCACTGCATTAAGAGATCTCTATGTCTTATTTCTTGCGTCATAACTAAGTCGGGGCTTCAGTGTTTTGTACAACTACGTTTTATATGGATCCCCTTTTTCTGCTTTATATTATTGTTTTCAAACGGTAGAGTTAGACCATTCAAGTTTAAATTTGGATAATTTAGGTGACTTTATTTTATTTTTTATCATGAATGTTTTTTTTTTGACAACTAACATTAATAGATTATTTTTACTTTGTATTCTATATTTTAAAATAAAAAATATTAAAATGTGAAAAATATTATCCAGTAAATCTGTACCGTCCATGAGGATCCTATAACATGCCAATGGGAAGCCTTAAGATTCAGGAGGAGGAATAATCAGCGTGTAGAGGCTATATCATGTAACCATGCTTTGCTGCTTTATGTATATGCTTTCATTTTCATTCCAGGAAAAATAATAATTAAAAGGAAAAACTTATATATTAGTGGACTAATTAAAAACCTGGACAATTTGATGCTTTCATAATTGAAGGGGTTTGATTACATAGATTTTTTTATTATTATTAATACTATTATTCATATTACAAGTGACAACCTTAATAGATTGGAAATGGATCTACGATATTATGAACCTGTGGTTCATTCTATTCCACTTTTGTTCTCTGATTTGGATTATGCTTACCAAGCCTTGGTCACGTTTCTTAATTAACAACGTAAACGGTGCTGTTAGTACTAAACACTAATATCAACAATCATTTACAATTGAAGTCAAGCAACGGCACATTTCGTGTCCTGTATACATTCAATATCTTCAAATTTATACGCCCCAAAACTTACATTATGAAGGGAATAGTTTCATTAACTCTACCGTCTGTGCAAAGGCATGCTCTTCTATGGCGTGATAAGTTATTATATTTGTAACTACAAACTCATTATAATCTGAAGTAAATATGTAGCAATTCTAGTTTTGGTACTATTCAACAATTCAAAAACGTTTTGCTAAAAAAGGAAAAAAAAAAAAAGACAATTCACAAAATGAAAAGGAAGTGAAGATTTTAATTTACAGAACAAAGATCAAGGACTGTTTCAAGAAGATAACACTACAATTATCCCAACTAGAACTACTCTCATGTTAGGTATGAGGAGTGACCGCCCACAAGCCTGGAATATACAAAGTTACATCTAATTTGTATCAGTCTTTAGTGAGTTGTTGCAAGTGTTGTCCATAACAAGGGCTGTTCCACAGGGCATGCTCCACTTGAACCTCTGCATATGTTTGATTGTTTTAGATAGGGACTAATATCATGTTTGGTATACAAAAAAATGTTTTCTAGAAAGGAAACAAAAGATGTGCATTTCTCATTTTCTTTCTAGGAAGCATTTTTCTACCTACTAAACATTGCATAAAAATTTCAAGTTTTCCCCGAGAAACAAACGAGATGCATCAATAAATTTTCAGTAAGCATACCTTGAATGGAAAACCTCTAATGGGTTTGTGTCTATATTTTTGGCAGGTCCACTGCTTTTATGACTATGTATTAATACGGGTGGCCTTGGAATGTGCGTCTTTCCTGAATTCATAACAGATTTTCTGCTTCCAAGTTGTAATGGTGTTGGCCTGTTGGCATTTAGCTTTGTGCCCTTGAAGACCCTCTCACTAGAAGCCTGCAATGGCTCATCCACCATCCCACCTGCTGTGATCATATTTAACAATGCAGAGGAATTCATTAAGCTAAGGTAACATTTATGTCATTAATATATAATGCAAATCAAATATTTTTGGGATTACTTACCTGTACTATCATCAATATCATCATTGAAATCTAATTGACTTATAATATCAGCCTCTTGATTGATTGGGGAAAATATGCTATCAAACATTGATGGCTGACCTATTTTTCCCCATTCTGCTTCACTCCATGTTAGTGCCTCCCACCACTTAGTTTCTCCTTTGATGATTTTCAAATTTTTGCTTGACAATTCCATCTTGGAAAAGCTCTGAAGTTTAGGGCAATCATAAATTCCAATATTTTCCAAACTTGGACCCATGTGTAATCCATTGGATATGCTGATCAGCTCAGGAAGATGGATAAGTATCATTGTTCTCAATTTTGAGAGAAAAGTTCCTGCTTTGAGTTTGGACGATCCACAAGATATTAAAGCACTTACTTTTGGACAACCTTTGACTGCAAGCACCTTTAAGAGTGAAAGATTGCTTATAAAATTCAAGGTGAAAATAGTTGATAACTTGGGGCAATTGTGCAATGTCAAGGACTTCAACATACCAAAACAGTGACTGGAATGAATTTCTCCTTCACAAATGCTTCTTAGATTCTTCATGTAGGATACGCTCAATAATAGCAAACAAGGAAATATATCCTCACTTCTTGAGTATCTTCCATCAACAATTGTTTGCATTTCTTTACACTCAGCCAATAAGCACACTTGTAATTGCTCTATATTTGTCATGCCAAATACAGAAAGATCTTTGATGGTCAAGTGTCGATCTAGGAATAAAGCCTTGCTATATCTGACAACATCTTTTATTTCATGAGGGACATCAACACCTTTCACAAACATTAAGCTACACTCACTCTGTTTAAATTTTTCTTCAGCTGAGGGTAGCGCACCTGATATGATTCGTGACATATGTTGGCCAACAATGAATCTAAAATCAAGCTTAAAAATGTGAGCTGGCAAAAGATTCAGAAGTTTTGGTTCTGGAATGTATAAACTAATAGTTTCCAAGCAATGCAATGCCAAGATTTCTGGTAGAATAACTTGTACATTCTCTTGCCATCTCTCATCATTGGGGTTTACATCAATGCTTAAATGTTTTAACACCTGAAGTTTGGAAATCACCCCAAAAGGAACAATTGTTGAGCTAGTATATTGTTTGCTTTTCTTGCCACGATACTCATATAAACAAAGTGTCAAACTTTGGAGATTGGTCAACTCTTGGATCTCTGCTGGCAAATGTATGATTTGAGTCTTGTCAAGATCAAGCTTCTCAAGTTTCTTCAGTCTTCCAACCTCTGGAGGTAGTTTCTTGAAGCGCTCGCAACCTTTCATAGAAAGTTCTCTAAGTTATTCCAACTCAAAAAAGGAGCTTGGCAGTTCTTTTATACTGGTGTAGGATAAATCCAGGAAGAAAAGAATGGGCATTTTGAAGAAGAAAAGGGATGGGATTTTTGTCAAGTTGTCATTGTTGTATAACATTAACACTTTGAGTTCAAGACAATTTGGGGTCAAGGGTAACTCAGATAGCTTATTGTCTGCTAAATCAATGTGTACAGAATTATGCCATAGCTCAGTATTTGGCGGTTCAACCAACCCTTTCCCAGATTTTTTCAAGAACAAAGGATTCTGATTGTTTAATGATTGCAAAATAGAATAGATTTCTTCTGGCATTTGGATATACCTTGAATTAGTGTCTTTAAATTGCAACAAGACAAAACAGTCCACTAGCTTTCTCAAGATAAGCTCTCCTTCCCCACCGGGCACCAGTTGGGAAGAAATCCAATCACTGTCAGATTCATTTTTGAGCTTCACCAGCAACCACTAATTGATTAGAAATCCAATCACTGATCAATTCATTTTCAATCTTCCCAAATTTGATACCAGGAATGAACAAACATGATGTAAGACAATGCTTTTGTGTCGTACTTAAATCATGCCAGATGAAGTTTATGAATGCATTAACCATCACCCTGCTCTGACCATGAAACACAGTTAAGCAATAGGAAGGATGAAGCAAATGCAATTTAACAACAGCATCTTCCCAACGTTTGACATCTTTCTCACTCCTTAGTGAATTTGCTACTATAGAAATGGCAAGAAGATTGCTACCACACTCTTCAACTATCTGAATTGCTATTGTTTGGATTGCATTAGGTGAACATAGAAGCTCATTGCTTACATTGCGACAGAAGACCTCCCATGGCAACAAGTGATCCTTTGTCTTGATATTCAGATCCATTGCTATATTAATTCATCATTAACTTGCTTTGGAGATTCAGAAGTAATTAACACCACAACTCCAGGAAGTTGTGTCTCTGGAAAACCCATTTTCCGTCGGTCCAAAGGCTCTTCATCAGCATCTCTATCCACCAGAAGCACTAAGTATCTCTTGCTTGACATCTCTTTTTCAATACTTGTTTTAAGCAAATCATCATTGCCTTCCATCATCGCAGGAAGCTGAAGGTGTTGAGCTATCTGTTGTCGAACATGGACCTCCGCTTAACTCTGGTAATTTGAGGCATCGATAAGTATGACTTGATTGAAGGTTTCATGAAGACGAAGCATAACTTCATTGTCTTTCAAGACTGATTCTACCTTTTCCATGACTAGTCTTTTCTCAGCTGCATCTCCAGTAGATAACAAGATATGATGTATGTCACGTGCATGATCATCCTCAGATAGTAAAGTTTGAACCAGTTGATCCACAGCAAGTTTCGCTGCAAGACTAAGAATGTCTTGAGGGATCCCATAATAGTAACCATATATGGAACTCCAACTCCAGCCTGTTTCTACGATCTCTAATATGTCTATTGGTAAAAGGCCTTGAAAGCATTTAAGGGGCTTTTGAGAAAGTAGGCGATTCAAATCTTGAAGTGAATGTTTCCTATTTGATGCTTCACGAATCCAAGCCTTGAGTTGGCTATCATGCACTGTTTTTACAGGATAATTCAACAGAAGCCTGATAAGATCTCTTATGTGGCTCAATTGCAGCAATAAATTCCTTCTCTCCTTGTCTTTAAACGTTGATGATTGTATCAGCGGTTGATCATACTCCTTCAATGCTCTGGACTCGTTGGAAAAATCAAGTGGTTTTCTTCTCCCACATGGCTCTGCTTTTTCTTTTTGAATAAGATCCAGTGTCTCAGTTTTGCCAAATGGCTGAACTACTTGGATTGGATATAAATCATGTGGCTCCTTTTTGGTGACAACATGTGCTTTGCTACTACTAAACTTCATTTGTTCGTCTCTACCCTCCACAGTAAGTTGTCCAAATATGTAAAATGGCGTGCCCTTCATACCTATGCATGTGACGAGGGAAAACTAACGTTAGAGTTAGTTAAATAGAAGAACGTAGCTAATAAGTATTTGGAGGATAGATAGCGGAGGACAAAGCTCGTTATCGGTTTATCCAAATCTGTTGTTTGTAGGGTGTTTTGGGCATGTTTGGCTTCTCCTCCCATTCTTTTATTTTATTTTAAAAAAAGCTGTTTTCTAATATACTTAGAATTGTTTTTTTAAAAAAAATATAATCATTGATTCTTTTAATTTTATCAAATTTTGTTGTTAGTCTTTTTAGTTTTTTTCAATTTTTTCAATTTTTATAAAAGTTAAAAACGCTGAAAATATTAAAATTATAAAGATTCAAATAATAAACATCACTCAATCTTATTGAAATTATATAACTAAAAATACTGGAAAAAATTATAGGAATAACTCAATAAAATTATTAAAACTAATGGTTATGTTTTTCTTTATATTAAAAAAAGGTAATAATAGTTTTAAAAACAATTAAATCCAAAACACTTATTTGTTTGATGAAGGTCTTTAAATAACAATGCCTTTAGCTCAACACCATCTCCATCACTAACTTACTCATGCAATTGAGGTTGTTTGTATATAACATATATTTATTATATCATTATTGAATAATCATATAGTAACTATCATATTTTGACTAAAAACTTGACCACAAAATGGAATTGAATACAATATTTTTATATTATTTTTTTTAATCAATACACTGTAATGCAAGAAACCTGCCGCCCGCTGGCGGACAAATACATACAATTGGATTTTTGTTCTAATTAAACTATACTAGTGGAGATTTTGTTAGTATTTCTTATCACAAGAGAACCACAAGAGCAATGTACAAAATACTCGTGATTGTAAAAGCTGTATACTTATATTATATATAAATTATTTATATAAATATTCACCAAAAAAATTATTTATACAAATATATTTTTAAATAAATTTAAATCTTCTGTTTCGTTTTCAACCACGTGTATAATACTTATACAATAAATTATTATATTTAAAAATAATTTAAGTATAGTACTAAATATTTTTTCAATGGCTTACAAGGTATCCCTCTATTGATGGCAAGATAGCATTAAATATGAGTATTTTTTTCTAGATGAGATTCAAATCTTGATTATATTGTAAGGTACATACTAGCTTTTTCATTAGATTCAGCCTTTATTATATTATAAACACAGTTTCCATAAACATGAAGCGATTTTTCTGCCAATAAAAAAACCGAATGGAATGGTGGGTACTCTTAAAAGATATGATGCTATAATAAAAGGATTAAAGATAATCAATACTGCATTCAATCTAGATTTAAACCAAATTTCGTAACTAATTGCTAAGCACAGAATTGAAAAAGAAAAGCTACGAATTATAGAATTGTAAGAATCCTTCTAATAGCACTCCATCCGTAATTAATAAGATTAGAAACAAAGTTGAATAATAGATTAATTGGTACTTCTAACAAATCAGCTATTTGTACTTCTAAATCATTAATATGTAAGAAATTTGACCCAAAGAAAAAAAAAAAGCATATGTAAGAAGTTGGCAAGACTGAACAGATCAATGAAAAGAATGAATCGTAGTACGTACCCAACGGTCCTTCCTCACCCAACTCAAAAACCTTAATGGCCTCAGATAATAATGTTGTTTAATGGATAACGCCTTCATCTTATCCTTTTATTTTTGGCGCCATATCGACTTTGACTTGTTAGTTAACCAACTACCATTCTTCTTTCCGCTTGAATAGTAAAATACCAAATAGTCAGCCAGTATTTTTCGGTGCATCCCTCTTTTTTTTTTTTTAAAAAAAAAAGCTCAAAAATTTCTCGTCTGACTTATTTATGAGGTTATATAATTAATGAGATGTCGGTAAATTTTCTGGAGTTTAACTTTAAAGAATTAAGTACTTAAACTTATGTTCTTATTTCTAATTAGATCAAAACAAATGGATTATAAATTTAAAAATAAGTTAAAAGTATTAATAACAAATTAACAAGAGTTAAAATAATATAAATGATAGAATAAATGAATAAATTACCCACTGAACCTTAAGTTCAATAGAATTATAGACTTTGAATTTATTTATTGTGTAAATTATTTCTTCAACTTTTAAAAAAAATGCAACATGGGCTTTGCCATTGACAAAAGTTATTTTGAACTTTAGTTGAATATAAAATAATAGAAATACCACGTAATCATTCATGTCCTAATAATTGGGCAAGATAATAGTGACCTATTTCTTTTTTCTCTTTTATGAATATATTGTTTTTTTTTGTCCCGGTCAGCTTATGAATATATTGTTATACTTTAGTGTTTATCATCTTTCAGGTGAAAATCATGGGGAGATGTAGTAAGCCATCCAGCTCTACGCAACTCAAATCTATACTATTTTTTAAAATTAATTTTTCTTTATGTGAATTATTGCAATTATGTATTTGATTGTGAATATTTTGATTTGCATTTGATTAGGACATGCTCCCAATTTAAGGTAGAACATTTTTTTTAGTCTAATCATTGATATCTTCTCAAGTCTTATGGTATTATGCTAACAGTAGGCGTAATGGTAGCAATTTAAGCCAGTTGGTTTGCATTTGCGGGTTGTTGACCTTTCAATCCACCTCAAATTATAAGACAATCTTGAAGGTATTTTATTATCTCAAAATATAAAATAATTTGATAAAAATAAAGTTTCATTAATAATACTTTTTTAATATTACCTTTTAAATAGAAAAAGAGAGTTGAAATGATATTGTAGTGGAATGATTAAGTGTGTAGGGGCATTTTGAAAAGTTTATAGTTTTATTTTAAAAAAGTAAATTTGTAAAGTATTATTATTGAGCTTTATTAACATGTATAATTTTGTCTCAAATTATTTTATAATTTAGGATAGATGTGGAGTAATACAATAAAAAAAGGTACCCCCAAGTGGAAAAATATAGGGTCTAAAGTGCATATCTGATTATATTGGTAATGTAATATTCTAGTTTTTATAGGAGTTTAATTATGTGAAACATGAATTTTGAGGATTTTACCTTGGGATTTATGTATTTTGTTGAGGTTGAATTGAGGGAATTAAATTTGGGATAGTGATAATTGAGGTTTGATTGAGTAAACAAAATTAAGTTTAAGGAGGTTTAATGGTAGTTTAGGCACTTAAATTTAGGCTAAAATGGACCTAGAAACACGTATAAAGGTTAAATAGATTCAAAATACAGATGCTAGGTTGAGTTGGGCCCACCTGATGGGTTTTAATGAAGTGCCCCATTTTTGTACCGTGCATCGTGACTCATGGTACATCTGTTGTGGTATAAAAATTTGAATATTAGATTTGTCTTCATGACATACCCAAAAGTAAAGGTTTTGAGGTAGTTGTGGACGATTTTTTTGGGAGCACGGCTAAGATCTTGAAGTCTCCAACCTTAAGGCACGTTTTTTGGATCCAAATCTTTAAAGTAAGTTTGTTTAATCTTTATGCTAGCCTCCAATCCCTTCTCTTCAAGGACTTAAATAGCTTTGGGTGTTAGGGTTTCATTTTCAGAAATACCCACTTTATAAATCTGAATTTTAAGTGTTGTTTGAGGTTAAATAAATGTTGTTTAAATAGTTTGGTGTTGTTTATGGTCAAAGGATGATTCAATTTGAAACCTTAAGTTTGAAATTGACATATTAGTGATGTTGAATTATAAGATGTTAAATCTATACAAGAGGAGTATAATGAGAATTGTTGGGACTAAGTTTAATCATATAAGTGTATGGGAAGTGCTAGGATTAATGAGATTAATTAACCTAATCCTAAGATTAGTGTTTGAGTGTTATGATTAGCCCTAATTAGAATTTATTAATGTAAAATTTGCATTATTATATTGTGTAGATTGTGGTGTTGACACTGTGGTGAATGGCTATTTGCATATTCAGGGAACTTCGCATATAAGGAAGGAAGGTAACTATTTTAACTTGTTTTTGGTGTATGACTTGTAACTGATGGTGTGAAATTTTGATATGAATATTTGTCTTATGAAAATATGCATTTGAAAATAAATATATGTGTTTTGGAAAATTGTGTTGTCAAGTGAGGCTATGATATGATAACTTGTGTTTTCAACTAAGTTATTGCACTTATAAGCATGATAAAAATGTGTTTTGATTAAATGTGGAAAGCAATGTGTTTTGGATCACATAGTTAGTGTGTAAGGTTAGGAGCTATGTGTGTTGGTTCTTATCGCATGGTGCGTGGTATATCCTTATTTAACCCAATGGATGGCATGTGTGGCTTGTACTAACTTATCTCTAGCCAGGTGAGCTAGAGTATCCAGCATGATGTAAGGTGGAAATATGGTATTGTCATGCATAATTGTGTGCAAATTGAAATATTGGTGTGTGTTCAAATTTGTTTATTTGCCTACTTAGCAATTCACATGATTATTTGCATGTTCATGCATCATGACATTTTAATTTGGTTACCGGGGGCCCTCATGTCTCATTTCCTGTGATTAACTATTTTTTTCAAGGAAGAGCTTAACTGGAGAAGAATCCAAGCAATAGTTTTGGTGTATGGAACACCTTTTATTGTTAAAGCCTCGTTTTAGCATGTAATATGTACATTTGCTAACCTAAGGCATTTTATTTTGTAAAGTGAGCATGTGACTCCTCTTTTGGCTTAACAATTAACTATGATAACCATGAGAATGTCTTTTTGACTCTCATGGCGGTGACGTTTAATACATTTTGGAACATCAAATGATTATATGATGAGTTGTGTTGCTTTATGTTTTACAACTATTATTGTTCATTTTAAGCTGTGTTGAGTGGCTGCGATGCATCTATAAATATTATAGGTACTAGCATAAAATTTGAGGTGTGTATCTATTGTTCCATATGTGTGTGATGTGTTCAAAAGTCCTACACATTAGTTAATGGTTTTGGTGTCAATTTGGAAGTTTTAGAAACTTTGACAGCGTGTTTTGAAACTAATAGATGTTTTAGTGGATAAAATATTTGCATGGTGAAATTTGTTGACAAACCAACTTTAACAAGTTTTACCATGGTAAAAAAAATTTTCTTAAATATATAAAACAATTTCTACACCAAATACTGTGGCAGGAAAAAGTCTATCATGATAAAAAAAAAGTTTTACTTAGATCCCATTTCAAAAAGAAGATTTGAAATCCAAGTTATTGTAGCATTTTCCCACAATTATAAAATCAAAGATCCTAGGGCAAATAATACAAAACATTTTTATCTTTTTCAAAAATATTCAAACCTAGCGATTCTAGTGTCCATCCAACTATAAACAATAAAAACTCATTCATTAGCTTTGGTTTGATACACAAATAGTTTTAATAGAAAACTTATTCTTTAAAACCTATTAAGGGTCTAGACATCTTTTCTCAAATAAATAACTTCATAACTTACAAACCAAAGTCAAAATTTAGGGTAAACAACTTGACCACAACTCATTTATCTCAAAACATAATATACAACTTCTAAAAATTAACAATACAAGTTAAAATTTACAATTGAGTTACAGTCACCTAATATAACTTATATAGAGAAGTAGTAAAATCTCATCTCATCTCTAAAATACAATTTCAATACTTTAAGTCAAATCAAAATTAGATCATAAGTGTCAAACACAATTCTTATGACCAATATATATAAAGTATATAAAAATCTAAATAGTTTATGTTTTATATTAACATGTATCTTCAAATAAATAAATACGGTGTGTAAGTTAAGGATGTTTCACGTGACATCTGTCGGCCAACGATGAATCTAAAATCAATCTTGAAATAGCGGGCTGGCTGCATAAGATTAAGTTTTTGGTTCCTTAAGGTGCTAACTAAAGCCGCGTTTGGTACATTGGAGATTGACTTGAGAGAAACCAAAATGAAATTGGAATCAAGCTTTGAATAGTTTGGTATATGTATCAATTCAATTTTTTTTTATGAAATTCAATTCTATTAAAATATCTAAAATTTAATAAATATCATGGTAAAATTGGAAAATTGCTATCAGTCAACCCTTCATTATCGTCGCCATTATTGGGCCACCTTCCTCCTGCTGTCACGACCACCACCACTTTCCTCCCGCCGTTCACAATCATTCTTGATTATTACTTGTTTTTCTTTGGCTCTCGTGCACCTGCGAAGCTTCGTAGAGGAGCATTATGGGGCGAAATATGAAAGCAACTTCATATACTATTATAAATTTTATGATTTACTCCCTCCAATTAAAATATATTTTGAAAAAATTTACATATCAATAAAATCCTCATTCTTATAAAAAAATATATATTAATTTTTTTTTACCCTCAATCACAATTATATAAAGATATGTATTTACACATACATTTAAGGTAATAAATACAAAGGGTAAAATGAATTTTTTTTATATAAGAAAAATGTTTATATTTCGGATCGGAGGAAATATTGAGTTGTGGGGCAATTTTTTGAATTAAAGAGAATCTTCTCTTTCAAAAAAAAAAAATCCTTATCTTTTGTTAAAAAAGTCACCCGATTTTAGACTGATATATGTTCTCAAATATTAAATGATTTATTTAACCAACCAATATAAATTTCGCAAATATATGTCGGTCTTATATATAACTAATCCAATTTTTTTTTAATAATAGTGACTATTCTTAGTTTTGATTTTTCTAATCCTTTATCCATCAGTTGTTGGAACTTCACGTCATGATTAATTATAGGAGGGAAAATGTGATATGCACCGACGCAATGAATTCGTCTGAAGCACATCAAATTAAAGAACCGTAACCTATCAGGTTTACTTGCCGGTTCGAATAAACTTATGTAACATGAAATTACACGAAAGACTATATCTTACTTCCAGAAATGGGCCGACTTTTTGGGAAAATTAATGTCTTGTTTTGACTAAATGGGAAATTTGACTACTAATGATAGTATCACGCGCAAAGAAAGATAAGTAATGATATAAAGTAAAAATAAATTATCATCACTTTCTAGAATCCTTGAAAACAATTAAATAAATACTCTTTTATTTTTATTTATAAATTATTTTTAATATATTTTATTAAAGTTAAGAAAAATTTTAAAACTTATTAACTATATATATATATAAATTTAATAATTTTTTAATTTTCTCTTTTCAATATTTAATAGAAGTTAAATAGAAAAATTTATAATAAAAATTTAATGATATAATTTATAAAAAAGATAAAAAAAATTTATCCTATAAATAAAGTTGATTGGAGTATATAGCAAAAATTAAATACAATTGTAATCAGTGATGATAAAAGTATTAAAGTGGAAAACTCTCAATACAAAGATCAATTTTAAGTTACAAATTAGGCATTCTTAATTTATTCGATCATTAATTATTGTTTCGGTCCTTGATCTCTATATATAGAAGCTAAATGAGTGAACCCGAACCATATCGCCATGTGATACTTCATTTTTGCTTGCTCGTTCTTGTGCCCCCTTCTTTTCCTCCATTACAGAATCGATAAGCTTCCTTTCTAGCTCTTAGACGCTTGGAGCAACCTAGGTATTATTTTTCTCTTTTAAATCACTCTCTAGAAATAATAGTCTCACTGTCAGTACTTTTCTTGTGAAAATATGTTGGTAAAGGAAAAACTATACATGAACAACTAATTAACGTGATAATTCAAACAGAGCCAATACTAGAAAAGATGCATGATTGAACTCTTGGCAACGTACGTATTCCATTTTATCTTAGCATGAATAACTGATCTATAGGATTTTATCTCTCGTTTGTTTCATTTAACCAATACTCTTGGGGTATAGTCGCTAGATGCCTCTCTTTTGGTCAACGTTGGCTGCAATCTCGCCATTCCTCTTCCATCGAGCAATTCTCATCACTGTTTGCTGCAATCCAGTAGTTCAAGTTCTACTTTGTGTTCGATGGAAAAGGGTTCAGAGAGTTTATCACGGGATGAATTGATGGGGTTTATAGTTGATGACTCTTTTGATGGGGAAAAAAGTTTTCTACCGTTTGACCTCTCCAAAGAGGTAATCTCTCTTAATTGAAAGATTTTAATAGCACCTCATCCAAACGATGCTTCGCTTGTCTCTTCAAAATTTGTCACGGTGAAGCATTGAAAAAAAAAAAGTCCACTCATTTGATTTGAATGAAGAGCCAATCGATGATGGTGAAGGAGTAGTAACAATAGCAGCACGGTTCTGTGGTTTGGAAGGAGCATCTAAGTCCAAAAAAAATGTTGATGCCTAACTCCATTTGTTCATTTACTTCATTGTCCCCATTGTCTTTCCTCATTCTCCCACATGGCTAAAGAATTTAAATTAAAAGAGAAGCACCATTTTTTCATGGTGGAAGACCCACTCGTGGTCTCTTCTTGTTTCTTTGTTTTGCTTTTCTATGTCTGCAATGTGACTCCCTTTTAAGGGTTGGAACTTTCACTGTTCTATCCCCCACCAAATCAAAAAAATTCCCATTCATTTAGCTCTTTCATCCATCATTGTGATTTGCTTTTCTATGTCTACAAAGTAAGGGAGAGAGATAAAAAAAAAAAAAACTATCATATGGTTTGCTCATGTTTTGTTTGTTTTTTTAAACTTGAGAGTTATGTTTGAAATTTTACTTATGTTTATCTCTTGTGCTTTTATTGTATTGATAATAATAAAGTTAGTAGAAATAACTTATACATTAAAGTATTATATGGTTTGATCATGTCTTGTAGTTTTAGTTGAGGATTACATTTGGAATTTTATTTACTTTTATTCTTTATATTTTTGTTACATAATATTGATGATGTTGGTAGAAGATGACTTATAAATAAGACTAGGAGGAATATTTTGTAATTCAGTAAAAAGAAAAAATCGTTTCGTTATTATTTTCTTTAGTCGGCGTTAACATTTCTTGAACTATTTTTCTCCAGGCTTTTAAGTTTCTCAATGGGTCATGATACTAAGAACAGCGCTGATAATCAAATTCAACTTTGGGCACCTTCTTTGGGAGAGATGGTGCGTTTTTCTCTTGAGAAAACAACGTCCTACGTTAGCAACATATATGCATCATCTAGCCATATGGAAGAGGTACACAAACAGCTAAACGATGAACTGGAGTGCCTAAATACTCTAAAAAGTGACTGTGACGGCCAAGTATTAGCAGCTTGGAATAAGCGTACAACTAATGAGTACAACTTGTGGACGAAGAAAGTGGAAGAACTGAACGATCAAGTGGCTGACCTGAACAAGTAATATGACAGGTTAGATACCGTGGAGAAATGGCGTTATTGGAAGCGATCTAGTCTCAGTGCAAATATGGAAATAAAGTTTAAGGTAGTTCGAAGGCTTATAAAACGACGCCCACAAAATTTTCTAGTTGACAGTACTGATGACCATGATCCATCTTATTATATTTAATACTCTTTTTAATATTTGATCATAAATCAATTGCGTGAACTTTTGTTCTAGTAATAAAATATGAAAGGATCAATGGATAGGATTCTATGTTAATTTTTTTTTTATTTAGTGAAAATGAAATCCATTCTAAAAAGAAGACGGCATCAACGAACGATGTCAGGTTAATTAATTGGTCTCGAATCTCGATCGAGCTTGGGTTCTGGGTACACAATTGCGTTGGATGCTTGTTAAAAGCATTTATTTTGGTTAAAAAACATTGACCTCGTAAAAAAGTTGCAGTCTGTATGCTATAAATTGAAATACAAGTTACGAGGTTATTGATCTTAAGAAAGAGTAAATTATACTTCCTTCGTCTCAAATTATAAAATATTTTTACATAAAATTTTATACATTAATAAATTTCATTAAATACACCTAATAATCTTATCTTTTAAAAATAAAAATATAAACTTTTCAAAATATTTATCATTTAATATAATAAAAAGAGAAGTGATGGAAATTAATTATAGAAAGAAAAAGGATAATATTAAAATTGGAGTATTTAATGAAATTTTAATCTACTCAAAGTGTCTTATAATTTGAGATGGAGAAACTCTTTAAAAAGTATCTTATAATTTGGAATGGAAGGAGTACTGCGTACTATTATATTATATTTAATATAAAACAAAGTTAATAAATTTTGTGTTTATTAAGAGATGTTAGTTATAATTTTAAAATTGTAAAAAAATTCAAAAGTTCCAATTTTACCATATTTGTAATTAATAATCATAATAAATTATTGTTTATAAATTTAAGTAATAATAAATAAACAAAGAGTAAAATTGAAAAAAAAATTAATTACTCAAACTTCATTTTATATTTAGAATAAAAAAAATTTTAAACTTCATCTTATATTAAAGAAAAGAGAGAGTATTCGGTAAAAACAAAAAAACAAAAAGATAAAATAAAGGACTTAGGTGACTTTGAATCTTATCCTTCTCCATCTACAATGCTATACATTTCATTACACTAATAAAAAATACATAATTCTGAAGAAAGTTCCATGAAAAGCTCACAATCTTTTAAATAAAACTTTATAAGCCCTTGTATTTCTTTTTAAAAAAAAACTCGAAAAATCATATATGCAAATTCGTAGCAAGACAAAAATGCACAACTGAAGCATGCAGGCGATGAAAAATAAGGGCGGTGGTATTTCGGTCAAATCAAGATTACCTCCTAATAATAAATTCTTCAACTTGTGAAAATTTAGAAAAAAAATATAAAGGATGAATAATTAAGTTCCATCAAGATCAAGCTTCACAATACAAAGAAGTTATGCCTTTTTTTTCGGGGGGGGGGGTCAATTGCTTGAATTGGTTACATGTATTCAAAGACAATAAGCAAAATTAGCTAAACTACTTTTTCCCCAACAACCACCACAACAACAACAACAATTTATCTATCAAGAACTCCATTTAAATTGCAAGGGAAAAAAAAACTTATCTTTGACTAAAGGAGTTGAGAAAATATGATCCCTAATCCATGGAAACTTACCACATACAAGATAAATTATTAATATCAACAACTATTTACAATGGAAGTCAAGTATTGGCGGGCAGATTACCAGAACCACCTTCACTATCTTCATTAAATATATACCTCCAAGCTAAATCGTTATTAAAAAAAAATTGATTCTTTTTTTTAATTTTCTGTTTGAATTATTGCAGAAAGTGTTTAACCCACTCTACAATCTGCAGCCAGCACAAAGTATTCCCTCGTTGCTTTGCTGAGACAAGTTATGTTTCTAACTACATGTTCGTCAGAATATAAAGCAAACTGAAGCAATGCGAAACTCGTTATTGCTACACCGTGCAAAAAGGAAAAGCCAGTGACAATTTTAATTTGAAGGACAAAGCTCAAGTTGTTTCAAGAAAATGAAGCTGCAGACTTACAGACCAAAAACAAACCCACCTCATTCTGAAATTGTGATGCAGGATTAAAATTGATTTAAAAAAAAAAAAACAAAGAAAATGAAGAATTCCAGCCACTAAAAAAGCACATCTCACTAAAACTCAATTCAGAACACAGGGCGTCTATAGAAGTTAAGGAATCTCATCCAGCGTTGCACTCTAAATTCATTGGTGAAAGTGGTAATAAGAACGTTGGATTGTCATGTTTAGTTGAGAGGGTGATCTGAAAGCTAGGCTCAGAACAAGTGCGACTGCCACAATAGGTGATCCTGTAAAAGGCAAGGCCGCTCTTGGATTCTCTGCACATGTTTCATAGCTTGACAGATCTAATCATATTCATGACTACATCTGAAATAGTTTCTGCGTATAGGCCACGTGTAGCATGAGCCAAAAGTGAAGTATATAGTTTAACCCCAAAAAAATTGTTGGAAAATTAAGATTGATGGTACCTTGGAAATTTGGCTCCAGGAATGGCTTCCTGGCCATATTTCCTCTAATTATATCCTCCTTCAAAAGACCCAGATTCCTTCGTCCATGCAGTCACAGTCTCTCTGTAATTTAAGAATTGCCATTAGAAAATGCAACTATTTTGTTTGAGCCTACGAGTTGACGTAAAAGGCAAATAGTTAGGCATATATATACTATATACATCCTCTTACAAGTCTCTCCTGTCCTTGAAGACGTTGTCACTGAAAGGCTGAAATGGCTCGACCATTATCCCATCTGCTGTGATAGTATTTAACAACGACAGTGAATTTAAGATAATTGCATGTCATTTTAATATAAATTCAACGTGTTTAAGTAAGTAAATGTGGTTTAGCATGCAAAATAGCAGTAAAAACCAATAAAGTTAAAATCAAATATTGGTAAATATACCTAGAAGTCATTGATATCATTCTCTATAACTCTCTCTTACCATTAATATTTTTACTTATCAAATTTAACATGGTAAAGGAATAAGGGGTTTAGGACATTCAAACTGAAATCAAAACCAAAAATAAAAAAAAAGATACAGTACGACCTGGATTGTCGTCAATATCATCATCTATCCCGAAATACCCCGAGTTGAGTCAACCTGATTATTCATGGAGGACTCTGTTACGCTAGAGGCCTGTGTGCCAGTGTGACAATAGCCGGTTTTATTGTGGTTGTGAATGCCTTCAAAGGTTGTCATAACATAACTTGAATCATCCCTATCTCTCTCAATGCTCTTTCTCACCGGGCATCCATTCACCAAACACTTATAGTAATTCCTGCAATCAATCAAATTTTATAATAAGCATAAACATGTTCTAGGCTGGCTATATAGCAGTTTCCATTTATGCACATATCTAAAACAAAGTGAGAGAATTAAAGCTTTTTGAAGCATTCATCTTTCCTGCCAATGATCATCTTCGTGTTTCTTGTTATTAATCTTGTTACAGCTTTCTTTGATAGCTATAGGTCCCGTTTGCTTCTACTCCTTAAGATTTCAGATTTCTGGGAATTGTCTTTCTCATAGTAACTATCATATATTCCAATACATCAAATTTTAATGATTTTACTCCCATATTTGTTTAACCATATCCATAAGAATAATCTGTTTAATGGTAATTGGCATTCTTTAAAAAAATTAGAAATCCAACTAGATTTATGACCTTATACATGCCAGTCCTTATCCACACATATCTGTTACTTTATTGCTCCCATGTCATGAAAATATATCTATAATCATCTTAGTTCATTTTATCTTCTGTCACCCAACTCCATTCTATTATTATCAATTCTAACAAAAAGATGGGCTCTCTCACATATATGTACGAGTGCGTGTGTCCCCAGTAACAGAGCATGTACAACGAACCTCACATGTTGAAAACTCTTAAGGCCATATCATCAAGCGTTTGTAACACTGTGTCACTCACAAATAGTTAACAAATAAATAGCATCACAGGCATATATATGTTTACCTGGGGTTGGGGCTCTTCTTCAAAGTCTTGATGCCATGCTATATCCACTTGTACCCATCGTTCATCATTTCTACCTCTGACTTTGTCAAGAGTATAGTTCTTTGTTTAATGCCCTTCCTCTCCTTACTACTGATTATGTCTCCTAAAACACTTGACAAAATAGTATAAGCGCTCAGGGTTAAAATACAAAAAGGTTGAGGAAAGCTTCACCAGCTCACACTGAAATAACAAACTAATTTAAAATTAGAAATTCAAGATAGCTATAGAATTACCTAGATCATTAATGTCGAAGTCATCGTCATCTACCCAGATTGAGTCATTGAGTCAAGCTGATTATTCATGGAGGAATGTGTTCCATTTGGAGGCCTGTGTGCAAGTGAGAAATCCCTGGTAAATGATTTCGACAATAGTTGGGTCTTCTTCAGATATCTGCACTCTCTTTTTGGCATAATAACCTCCTTGAACACATTTGAAATGGCTTCTGCACATTGACAGCGTACATTATTAGCCAAATTATGCACAACAATTGAAATAATTTTCTCTTTTCTCTTCTTTTTTGGGGTAATTGAAGTAGTGCTACCTTGGATTTAGTACATCCTCTGTTTTCTGGTGATATTTCCTCCACTTTTACCCATCATCTAAAATATCTTCACCTTCAGATATTTTCTCTGACACTGAAAAGATCACTCTGTGATACAATAATACATGTTAGCCAGAAAGATACACCACGTTTTTGTATAAGCTTCTAAATAGAGGCACATAAAATTCAGTTATCCATACACACACACACACACACCTGATTATTTCGGTGTTTTGCCTCGGGTGCTCAAATAAAGACAGCAATGACGTGATATCTGCTGTGATAGATTCTAACAAGGTAAGGGAATCAAGGGATAAAGGTATACTGTCAGTTTATTGATGAAAGTAAAAGAAGTTGAGACAATCATTTCACACTGGGAAAAATTAAATTAATACGCATGCATGCATGCAGAATTACCTGGATCATCGTCAATATCATCTTCATCAATCCCAAATTGCAGTGCAGGAAAGTGTTCCCGTCTCGTCGCTTACGCGACGCTGAGCCTTCCATTTGCGGAGCAGCCGTTGGAAGAACTTCCGTGTTCTTAGGATGCACATGGCCCAGAACCCCTTGATGATGCATGACGAGATCAACGAGAGCAGTTTTTTTTTGGTTAAACCTTCGGCTATCGAATCTTTAGGAGCGAAGGGGTTTAGATACAAGTCATCTTTACAATTACAATTGATGGCTTGATGCTGCAATAATAATTTTCATTTTTCTTTAGATTTGGGTTCATTTCTTATTTTAAAATTGAAAAAAATTATATATTTCCAAGTTTTTTTTTTTAAATAACACTGAAAACATTGATTAAAAGTGTAGGCTAATTCTTCAATCCCAATAAAAGCTAGCTATACATGTCATCCATTTTATCGGAAAGGAAAGATCCCTCATCATTCTCCAATCCCAATTAAAATGTTGAAAGGTAATCAAAGATATTAAAGTAATCATTAAAAATATAGGATGATTCAGCTAATTTGTCAGCTAAAACAGTTTTTTGTCTGAACAGCTGTACAAACTCAACAAATGCCAATCTTGATGCACCAGCAATTTAATATTTTCAGTGATGTCTCCGGAGGGATGACTTTCACTACATCCCCTCAATGCCTCTACACTGTTTGAGAACACCTGCACAATACTTCAAAGTTAAAATGCTTCAAAATAAGACATGCAATTTTTTAATATTATTTATTATATAATGACTTTTTATTATTAACATTTTAAAATTTGGTATTTTAACTTGGATGAAAATATATTTTACATATATATAGATAAACACTTAAATCTTCTTCAAAATAATAGAAGTTTGAGTATAATTACATAACAAAATATATTTATCCAATAAAAAAGTGAAAGCACTATTTTAATTCCAACACATTGCTCGAGTTTTGATATAAATTCACACTTTTATTTCAATGTTTTAGGTCATTATATTTTTCTCCATTTGTAATGTTGATCTCTACATTTTCAAAGAAACATTGCCATGACACAAATGATACTAATAATATTAACATATCAATTAACACTTTTAATTTTTTGTGCTTATATGTCAAACTGATGCTAATATAAATTTTTTAATAAGAAATTTTTTAAAAAAAGTCTACATCAGATGAAGAAAAAAGATTTTTTTTCAAAAATCTTTTATTGATCATTTAAAAGTCCAAGCCATCTTTTTTTATTTAATCTGATGTAGGCTTTTTTTCTCATTAAAAAATTTATATTAGCATTATTTTGACATGTGAGCACAAAATTATTGATATATCTATATTATTAACACTATTTGTATCATGTCATCGTTCCTCTAAAAATGTAGGGACTAACATTACATATGGAGAAAAGTGTATTTCTGCCTTTCTATTATTGTTAGAGATATTTTAAGTTTTTATTACTTTATATTATATTCTATTGAAAATTTGCATTTTAAATATGTGACTTTGTCAAATATTTTTATTTGTTATTGTTTCATTATTGCCCCCACACATTTGATTTTTTGAATTATTTTTATTTGTGAGGAATATTTTTCCAAAATTTTGTTTTTTAATTTAAATTTAATTTTCATAGCATTGTTAGAGAACATAGGACAAAAGTTCATTATTGTCATTTTAAAGATTATACATTTTCAATTCAAAAAACTATTATATGTATAATCTCTTCTATCCCTTTTTCGTTGGTCCAGATATAAGAAGAAATAATATTATATCGCTATTTTTGTCTTCCCCGATTTTTTCTTCAAGTCTCCTCCCTTTTTTTTTTTAACAACTTTTTTTCCTTATTCAAATTCAAATATATCATGAAGTTTGAGATTGGGTTTGAAATTAGCAATTATTTTCAGTTAAAACATTCAACTGGTTTAAGAACTCATGATAAAACAAACTGAAGCAATTCGAATCTTATTATCACTCCACCGTGCAAAAAGGAAAAGCCAGTGACAATTTTAATTTCAAGGACATAGCTCAAGTTCTGTGTCGAGAAGATGAAAATGCAAACTTACAGACCAAAAACAAACCCAACTGAAATTGTGATGCAGGATTAAAATTGATGAAAAAAGAGACTGAAGAAGTGTACCAATTAAAAAAGTACATCACTAAAACTCAATTCCGAATACAGATAAGCGTCTATGGAAGTAAAGGGATCTTTTTCAATGTTGCAATCATGCCAGATGAAGTTTATGAATGCTTTAACCATGACTCTGCTCTGACCATGAAACATGCTAATGTTGTAGCATGGATGGAGCGAACTCAATTTGTCCAAAGCACGTTCCCAACGTTCAACATTGTTTGCATTTCTCAATGACTTTGTTACAACGACACTGGCAAGAAGATGACAACCACATTATTTGACCACATACACGGCCATTCTCTTGGCATAAGAAGATGGTAACAATGTGGTGTCAATCTTTCGACAGAAAACCTCCCATGCGAGCAAGTGATCCTTTGTGTCGATAGTCAGACCTATTGCCATTGTTAATTCACTATGAGCTTGCTTTGAAGATCCAGTGGTAATGTACACCACTACTCCTGCAAGCTCTTCTTCAGTAAAACCCACTTTCTGAGGATTCAGAAGCACTTTGGCTTCCACCAAAAGGACGATTCAAGTCTTGGAGCAAATAATATCTCCCATTTGAAGCTTCGCGAATCCAAGCCTTGAGTTTGCCATCTTGCACTGTTCTCATGGGATAATTTAGTACAAGTCTGACAAAATCTCTTATCAAGCTCAATTTCAGCAGCAAATTCGTTCTCTCATCATCATCTCTAAACGTTGATCCAATCGGTGCTTGATCAAACAGCTTCACTCTTTCGGCTTTGGGAACATTCAGTGTCTCACCGCGCTCTATTGTGGATGAATGAACTGACTCTGTCTTCCCTGACTCTGTTTTCACAGTAGGCCCCACTTTTCCCGAATTTTCCATTCCTTCTCTTCCACGAAATTCGTTTGTATTTATTTTGGCAAATCGCTCCACTATTGTTATTGTTGATGGATTCAGTGGCTCCATTTTGGGGTGAACATGCACCTTACAATTTTTCCTTGAATTTATTCGTTCCATGTGAATAGTTCCTGCGTATATGGATGAGGGGAAAAATTCAATGAGAAGAATGAAAATAAAAGGTAAAGCGATCATTTATTTATAAATAGTTTTGGAAACTGGACTGAAACACATGTGCATGCACGCGTAAAAATGTAATATTTTTGGCCAAAAAATGTATATTTCATGTATATAATGAAATTTTTGCTGACAGCAAGTAGAAAATTCAATTATGAGTAATGCCGTAAATATACTATTCTTAATAAGTATTCTACCACACAAGTTTGGTCACACGGTAGCTTTCTAAGATTAAGTGAACCCTTCCTGCACAGTTAGTCAGGAGCACAGAACAGAAGAAACTAAGCAGGAAATTAACTTAGGAATATAATGCAGAACAAGAGAGGAGGAGAGGAGTAGCCCAAAAGCTCAAACGCTGGCGCAATTATTATGTCTACATGAAAGCCTATATACAGGCTGACCTGGACATGAACGTTGGGACTCAAAACGCCAAATTAAACTACCATAAAGCACTGTTTACAAACCATAAACCACCATCAAGCACTTTCCTGGAGCCGTTTGGAGGATAATTATCCTTAATGAAATCCGGTTAAGAAATCTATTTAAAGCCCAGAAAATGAATGAAGTTCAAATTACAATTTCAAACAACCAAAATAAAAAGTTTTCTAGTAAGCAATTTTAAATAAATAACTAATTCATTTTCTGCAAAAATAATCCAGTACAAAGTGTCCCAATATTGCCTTAACTCACGCACAAGGAGGGCTAATAAGCTGTTTTCATCTGCAATTGCCCTGCGTTGGCCTGTCTCATACGTGTAAGTTGACTTCTCCTCAAAGCCTTTTAACTAGCCACTTTCACTTCTTGGTATTTATATCTTTGAAGCTTCTCTTGTGTGAGCAATGGGGGACATTGTCATTTTGACAAAACACTCTCAACTATTATAACTATCCCCACATTTGTCAAAAGGACCACTATTATTTGAGTTAATCACACAGAAGATAATAACTTTGTATTTGGTGTCTTTCGACTTGAACCAAATGTAGACTAATAAACCTTAGCACATGGATAAGTTGGTGTAACTTTATTATTAAACCAAAAGATCTTGAGCATGTACTAGAGGTCTTATTAATCATATTATATCCCCATAGTCTATGCTATTAATGATGATTTTGAATGTTATCGGCCATGCGCGCACATGGTTTTAACAAATTTTTTAGAGATTTTGCTACAATCTTATAAGAGTAACCCCATTCCACATTCGTATAGGTGTTTTTATCAAGTGTCTCTGCAATGAATACACCATCCATAACAACTATAAAAAACATTAAGAGCTTTTACTCAACCTTCGATCAATACATTCTAACACTTTCTTAAGTCATAGGAAGGGATAGGAAATTTAGTACTTTAAGAACTAACAAGTGATTTGTTCTTATTCATTAAACCTTCTTTATGGAATATCCAATCATAAGAGTTGTGTTGCGAAATATCTCCTTAACTAATCTCCAAGTAACATCAAAATTGAGGTAATCCAGTTATCCAGGTCTAACTTGATAGGGATTACCAAGTTTGTAATTTAAAGAAATGGGATCTTAAATTTTTATAAATCAAATTTACTAAAACATCATTTAATAAGATTTAAATCAAAGTAAAAAAAATGTCTTGGATGCATGGGATACTTTGTGAGAGTGAAAAGACTTAAGTATAGTTGATAAATAACAAGGAATGAAAAACAAGGCAGTACGCTGTGGCTTGTGCACATGCGCCAGGGCTTTCCCTTTTTTGTGTCACTCACCATGGCTCAAGCGCCATGTGCCACGACGTGTTGCACTCATCAGACAATAATTCTGCTATCATTTGATAGCAACTTTGAGGTAATTTTTGACGTGCCTCATTTCCCCATCCAATATTCAAATGAAGTGATTTAAGTGTTTATGAAAACCTCTTTTTATAAAATAGCTAATGGCATGGTTTTTACTTCCAAATTAAGTCACACAAGAAAGTTGAACACCCAAACCATTTTCAAACCATTTTGACAATTTTCACAATTTTAATGATAATTAAAAATTAATTTTCCCTGTTGTTTTGCCCCTTGCACCGCTGTTGACATGTTCATTCGATTATCTTGATGAATAATCATTCAGGTAAAAGGTAGCTAAACAAGAATAATACCATATTGAGGTAACGAGGTAGTGAAAACAGTATACTAAAACTATAAACATCACTTCAAAATATGCACACATACGCACATCACAATCTGTAATATATAAGAAGCTATATTAAAATAAAACATAGAAGATAAATTTCAAATATATTGGCATAAAGAACATATCTTATTAATAAAAAATGAGATGTAAAACATGATGAGAAAATATATGAATGATGTGGCTAGTTAACAATAAGAGATGCACAGAGATTAATGCATCAAATCCACCATTCCGATATGAGATTATATGGATGTGGATGACATTAATTAGAATCCAATCAATACCCATCATTTGCAAGAACAATTGTATGCACAATAAAGTATAAACCATAGCTTGAGCATATCACGAGACTGCATTATGCTTGAATATGACAATGGTACATGTCATAAGTTTTATATTGAAGAGCCTTACAAGTAGTATAGAGTTTATAAGTTCATGAAACTCTTTCACCCAATAAGTTAGTATTTTGAGATGAACTCTTCCTTTAGACTTATAATTGTTACATTGATGCTTTCATTGAGAGGCCAATGTTATGAAAAGGGCTATCCATAAAGGATTCTGATAGGAAAGGGCTACCCATGAAGAATTTTGATCGGCAGGAGGCCCTCATAAGTGATGTGAGGTTTATAAATTCAAGAAATTCTCATACTCAATAAATTAATATTTCAAAATGACCTTTCCTTTTAAATTTGTGTTTGTTGCAGTACGTACTAGACAGTGATATCAAAAGGTGTGAGTTTGAAACTTAAAACCCCCGAAGCTCTGCTAGTAATTGAAGTAATGAAGCTTTTCCTCCTTCCTAGCTATCACTTTCTTCTTTCACACCAAACTTCGTTGACTTTGAGTTCATCAAGTTCAATATTAGTACAGCTTGATAATGATTAAATATCAACTAAATTAAAAATAATCACAAGTATTCGAACTTCTAGGACACGCGCACACACAACTATATTATCTTTTTATAGTTTATCAATTTTATGGGGTGGATGATGAAGCTACTACGCATCTTCTTGTTAATATTAAAATCATTGCGAATGCTTGATGGCTTTCCTCAGTATATAGAGTCGCACTAATAACACCATCTTTGAAATAATCACGTCAAGATTACACACACATCATTTGAATACATGTGTACTTAACATATTTAATATTTGAGTACATTCTCATTTTAATACATGTACACTTTATTTTCATTTAGTTTTGGTCACATTCTAATGCTTTTATATATTATGCATGTCTCGCATTTCTAGATCCTTCTACATTTATTTTCTACCCGTTGCTTTAGAATATTATAATCAAGTAATAAAATAAATAATAAATAATCCTCTAAACTTTTCTTTATAAAAAATCTAATAATTAATAAATGTATACACAATCAATTAATTGATTTACTGAATGAAAAAAATAAATGAAATAAAGATTAGGAGAAGGAAAAAATATTTATAGATGTCAATTTTTTTAAAAAATAATTATAAGATTACATAAATTTTTTTGGCCTGACAAGACTACTAATTGAAATTGAAATAAAGTCTAACATATTAGTCATCGAGAAGCAAGAGATATAATAGTCCAAGAGAGAAGACATGCAAAATATTTTTAATTAAATCTTACTTTTTAATAAAATAATTAATTATTTTTAAATTAACCTTATTTTTTATGTTTTCCTTTATTTAATAGGGTATTTTACTTTAAAATAAATATAAAGTAATTAATTCAATTAAGGTACTTTTAAAAAAAATTACACCTTAAAATGCTAAAATGTCTTAAATTATTAAACAATTAATCCCTTAAAAAATACATTACATTTTTAAATAAACAGAGTGCGTTTGCTACATACAAGTGACTTGCGAGTTATACATCATACTCTAAGTTCTAAAAAGACGAAAACACTCGTGGGCTTGAGCTATACTATTCGGACCTGTTCGTTAAACATTGGTTCGGGAGGGAGTCGAGAAAGTCGTCGGATGCGTGATCGTCACTTTCAGAAGGACTATAAGGAACTCGTAGTGGCTGTGTCTCAGCATCGGAGTCATATGGTTCTTCAACAACAAAATCTTCATAAAATGGGGTTGAAGCAGAATTGTCCATAGAAGAAAATGACTCAAGATCTGTATTGGACGCTGTGCTGCCCCTAAAACTGAGAGTATAATCTGTTGGATTGGAGGCTGGGACTTCTGTAGGGTCTTCATCAATTCTTTGCACTTGCTTTTTAGCAGGGCAACCAAAATGAGTACCATGAGTACATCTGTAATAGCTTCTGCACATTGACAACACATCATTAGCAAAATGATGCATATATTGAAGTAATAAAGCTTTTTTTTTTTTTTTTGGTAATTAAAGGCGGTGCTACCTTGGATAATTGGATCATAGAATTTCTTTCTGGCCATCTTTCCTCCATTTTATTACATCTGCCAGAGGAATCTCTTGATTTCCAGGTGAGAATGTTATCATTGAAACAGTCATTCTATGACACGGGAATTCAGGTTAGAAAATCCACCAAATTTTTTTGCATGATCTTATAAATAAATAGAGCTACATGCAATGCATTTATGTATATATACTTCTCTCCGTTGGCATTTTGCTTTGGGTCCTTCAAGGTCCTCACACCTAAAGGCTGTAACGACTCATCCTCTGTCTTCACTGCTATGATGATTTTAACACGGCAGGGGAATAAAGGGTTTAGGACATTCACACTGAAATCAAAACCTCAAATAAAATTAAAAAAAAAAAAGATACAGTACTACCTTGATCATCGTCAATATCATCATCTACTCCGAATTGAGTCATCAAGTCAAACTAATTGTTCTTGGAGGACTCCGTTACGCTGGAGGCCTGGGTGCCCGTGTGACAATAACTTGGGTGGTTGTGGATGCCTTCATAGGTTGTTATAACATAACTTGAATCATCCCTATCTCTCTCAACTCTCTTTCTCACTAGGCATCCATTCACCGAACACTTGTAGTAGTTCCTGCTAGCACATTCTATAAGCATAAGCATGTTCCAGGCAGGCTAGCAGTTTCCGTTTATGCACATTACAAAAACAAAGCGACAAGGAATTAAAACTTCGTGAAGCATTCATCTTTCCAACCAATGATCATCATCTCCATGTTTCTTGTTATTAATCCTATTACAGCTTTCTTTGATAGCTTTAGGTGCCATTTCCTTCAACTCTTCAAAATTTCTGGGAATTGTCTCTCTCACAGTAACTATCATATATTCCAAATTCCCTATACATTCAAATTTTTATGATTTTACTCCAATATTTTGGTTGGCCATAACCATGAGAATCATTTCTTTTATTGTAATCATCATTCTTTAAAAATTAGAAATCTAGCAAAATTTATGACATTATACATGTCAATCCTTATTCACACATATCTATTACTTTATTGCCCCTATCTTACATAAATATATCTATGATCATCTTAGTTCATTTTATTTTCTATCACCCAATTCCATTCCATTTCTTATCATTTCTAGCAAAAAGAAGGGCTCTCACATATATGTACGACGAGTACATGTGGTAACACGAGCAACGCGTACAACAAAACCCCATGTTTGAAAACTCTCAAGGCCAGATCATTAAGCATTTGTATGACTACATCAGTCACAAATAGTTAATAATAAATAGCATCATGGCGCGCGCATATCAACCTACCTGGGGTAGGGGCTGTTCTTCACGGTCTTCTTGCCATACTTCTCCACTGTACCCATCGTCCGACATTTCTACCTCTGACTTTGTTCTGAATCGAATTCTTTGTTTAACGCCCTTCCTCTCCTTACTACTGCTAATGCCTTCTAAACACGACCAAATACTATAAGCGCTCAGAGTTAAATTGAAAAAGCTGAAGAAAGCTGCACTAGCTCACATTGAAACAACAACCTAATTTAAAAATAGAAATTCAAGATCATGATAGCTACAGAATTACCTAGATCATTGTCAATATCATCATCATCTACCCCACATTGAGTGGTTAAGTAAACCTGATTATTCATGGATGAATCTGTTACACTGGAGGCCTCTGTGCAAGTGTGACATCCCTTGTATGTGATTTCGACAATGGTTGGGTCTTCTTCAGATCTCTGCACTCGCTTTTTAGCAAAGCAACCTCCTTCAACACATTTGAAATAGCTCCTGCACATTGACACCCCCCACAGTTGAGCCAAATGATGCATGCCAATTGCAATAATTAAGTTTTTATCTCTTTTCTGCTTTTTTATTGGGTAATTAAAGTGGTGCTACCTTGGATTTAGTCTGTCCTCTGTTTTCTGGCCATATTCCCTCCACTTGTACCTGTCGTCTAAAGTATCTTCACCTTTAGATATTTTCTTTGACGCTGAAAAGATCATTCTGTGATACAAGAATTCATGTTAGAAAAATACCCACACTTTTGTATAAGCTTCTAAATAGAATTGCCTAAAATTCAGTTATGCACATATATACCTGCTGATTCTTTCAGTGTTTTGCTTTGGGTAATCAAATAGAGGCTGTAATGGCGTCATATGCTGTGATAGATTTTAAATAGGTGAAGGAATCAAGGGAAATTGGAATACTATAGGTATAATGTCAGCTTATTGATGAAAGGAAAATAAGTTATGACATTCAGTTCCACTCTGGGAAAAATTAAATTAATATGCATGTAAATTAACTGGAGCATCGTCAATATCATATTCATCTATCCCAAATTGAGTCATTATTTCTACATGATTATCAATTGAGGAAAAGATTAATCAAACATAGATGGCCGACAGGCTGTTCCCCATTCTTCTTTGCTCCATTGGACTGCATCCCACCATCTGGGTTTTCTCCCAAATGACCGTTAGATTTTGGCTTGACAGTTCCATCTTAGAAAGGCCTTGGAGCTTCGGGCATTATAATTGCTATACTTTTCAAGCTTGAACCTATTTGACATTCATTGGAAATGTTGATCAACTCGGGAAGATGTAGAAGCATTATCTTTCTCAATTTTGGGAGGAAAATCTCTCCTTTATGTTTGAATGATCTGTCACTTATCAAGGTTTTTACTTTAGAACAATCCTTAACAATCAGCTCCTTTAATAGTGAAAGATTGCCTAAAAATCCAGGGTAAAGACAGTTGTTAACTCGGGGCAATTTTGCAGTACTAAAGACTTCAGCATACCCAAAAAGCAGTGAGGTGGCATTGGCCCTTCCCATATGCTTCTTAACTCTTCATGTGCGAT